TCCTTCTTTGCAGAAATCATCAATATCTGCTACAGTCAGTCGTCTTTGTTACAAACAAAGCCTGTGTTTTTGCATGTTTGTGCTATAGGCTTAGTTCACAGTCTGCTCACCTGTATGTTAATTTCACACCTGTTATTTTGCAACCCAGCAACATCGCAGAGCATAAATATGAATATGCATCGGTTCGAGGAATTGTTCTCTTTAGTTTTCCATTTGCCTTCATGTAGATTATTAATATACTGTATGTTAATGTTTACCGCTTTGCCCGCCTCACACTACTTTCAGAAAGTCATTTAAGTTTGCGTCTGCGCGCCATCAGTCATGTCACTGTTTATAAGTTATTAGAAATTACAACAACGTACATTTTTCCGTTACACCGAAATAATTCCGTGATGTTTGCGTGTGTTTTCATACTTGTATGACTTCCGTTTGTGTGTTTCTGTATGTAAGACTGTTTTTACTTTAGTCTAAACAGCGGTCAGTGGTGTCTGGCGTTGGCGAATGTCTCCAATTCCTCCAAGTCCACCGTCTGACTCCAATTTGTGCTCGTTCTCTGATAAACCGCGGCATTTGGTGGTTCTGGCGTGGGATGCCGGCTGCACCATGGGGTGCTGCAAACTCCGCGCTTGGTCAGGCCCTGGCACCCCACATCTAATGGGCAACAGCTTGAATAGTGCCCACTTAAGCAGGCAGTGTGGACTGGGCTCCCTCTTCTTCCTCACCACTCCAGCCAGCTAGCCAGCCAGCCACCGCCTCTGCCACCTCCCACTTACCCAGCAGCCACTGTACCTGGCCGCAGCCCCAGAGCCATTCCAGCCTACCTTAGGCCCCTGGCCCATGCAGCTCCCGCCATACTTATCAAGCTGTCCTACAGTGCATCAGGCCAGGCATATACAAACAGGCCCAGCTATCTGCTAACTGAACATTCAGTCTATTGCCTCCTATGCCCAAACAAGAGTTCCTGCCACAGGCAGCGTCCCAGAGCCCATTCACCAATTAACTGGAAGGCAGATTATGGCCCAAGGAGAATTATACAGCTCCAGCCCCACATATTCAGCCTCTGCTCTAGCCGTCGCCCCGAACACTTGCTCCAGGGCTTGGCTCTCCGCTGACATCTCTCCTTTGCTTTCTGTTTTTTTACGCTTTAATTTGATAGTGTTCATCAGCAGCCATTTTGTGACAGCCTTTACAGACAAATAAACATGTTGCATTTGATTGGGGGTACAAAATGGCGTAGGAGAAAGAACTGCTTAACTTTCATTTGTCAGCTTCAGTTTGATCTTCGATGAGGCTTTCAGGCCTTTTTCACAACACGAATGCTCAGACCAACGGGGGGCTCCGAGCTTTGGGGGCCGATGGCCGATTGCTGGAAGCACTGTGGACTGATACCGATCACTACGTCTATTCAGAGCCGTGTTTTTATCATGCAGCACTATTAATTTATTTAACTATGTATACTGAGCATTGAAGTGATGCGAAAGTATCATGAATTGACAACCGTTTATTTATTGGCAGGCGACGTGTGCAACATATCCCAGTCTCTCTCTTTCAACTTAAACCATAGCAGCCTACGCTTGGTTGTTAGGAACAGCTTCGAGCTGAACAAATATAGCTTTCCCGTGGAATAAGATAAATAAGATTTTATAAAATAAAACCTACAATCAAAGTTAAATGTCCAAACACATAAATTATACTGAGGCAACAAAATCAATGAAAAAGATAAAGCAAAACAAAACAAAACACAACACAGGGCCTCTTTAAATCTACTCCAACTTTGTACTGAAGACAGACTTCAGGCTTTTTTTTCTGCATTTATAGGAGATAACAGATCGCGGGCAACAGTGCACGGAAAGAAGCAAAAAAAAAAAGCAACCAGCTGAGTACGTGACGACTGAAAAACTAAATATCTCTCTGCCTCGGTGCTTGGCCTTGCTTCTTTACGCCAAATGTGTGACGAGGATCAAGGTGTTTGAATATTTTGGTTGCTTTCCTCAGTTTCCTTTGAACACATCTTAAAACTTGCAAATTCATTGTCGTTTTCAGACACCTGGTGGAACAGGTGAAGCTACTGAGTCCATTTTAGCTCCGCGTTGAGAAACCATTTCACAGGCTTTCCGTCATCTGGGCAGCTCTTCCGATCTGTCTTTATAGAGACCGCCGATAAAACTTTCTTAGGTGGCCGATGCTTCGGAGCACCTTTACTCGGACCCAACTTATTCAAGCAAAAACTTAATCTCGGCACACCTCTCCAGGATTTTCGCACTCTCATCCAGAAACGGAGACCACGGAGTCTGTTCGTTCTGTTCCGTGTACTTTGTTTGGTTGTACTTGTAAATGTTGGTTCAGTAGATCAGTAAGACCAAACAGATGCCAAATGTGTAGCTCTCTGTCTTTTTGCTTTTCCATCCTCAGTTTTTTATCACCCTCCTCTTCCTCGCCACCACCACTCTATTGCTGACTGCTGGAACTTTCTGGCGGTCTGTCTGATGCTAATTGGTGGGTAAACAGGTCTGGTGTGAGC